GGAGGGAGAATTTGGAAAGTTTGAGATAAGGATTGGAGGATGAGGAGGAGGAGAGAGTGTTGATTTTGGAATCGAAATTGAAAGGGATAAGGGTAAGTGAAATTTGGAGAAAAAATTGGTTACCCTGGAAATTGGAGAATTAATGGGGGAATGGAACGTTGAACGAAGGAACGAATTGGAGGGAAGAAGGGATCACTGTTCTACCGACATATGACCGTAATTAAATACATCCAGTTACAATTTAGCTAGTTGGACAGATGTGATTTCGAGTACTTGATCGTTTGAAACGATAGAAATAAAGGAATAAAGGAATAAAGAAAAGCCATCTCGATAATTTCTACTTCTACTATTCGAATCGACAAATATAACTTTTGTTATTTACATCTGTATAAATCACTTCCCCTTGAATAGTAGAATGAATAATAATCATGAATATAAAAGATGTATATATACCCATATACATATATAGAGATAGAGATATATAATAGAATAAATAATAATCACGAATAAGATGTATATATACGTGTATACATATATGAGATATAGATATAGAGATATAGATACTATATATAGTATAGTATAATATAGTATATATATGTAGTATAGTATACTATATAATATATTGATATACTATATATATATATATAGTAGAGTATATAGATAGTATATATATATATATATAAGATATAGAGATAGATAAAAATATATAAGATGTATATATACGTATATACATATATAAGATACAGAGATCTACATATAGATGTAAATATAAAAATATAGATAGTATATACATATATAAGATATAGAGATATAGATGTAGATATAGAAATATAGATAAGAATATATAAAATAACTAATAAAATAAATAACGAATATATAAGATGTACATATACGTATATACATATATAAGATATAGAAATAGAGATAAAAATATATAAGATATATAATAGAATAAATAATAATCACGAATATATAAGATATACATATACGTATATATATGTATAAGATATAGAGATAGAGATAGAGATATAGATAAGAATATATAAAATAACTAATAAAATAAATAACGAATATATAAGATGTATATATACGTATATACATATATAAGATACAGAGATCTACATATAGATGTAAATATAAAAATATAGATAGTATATACATATATAAGATATAGAGATATAGATGTAGATATAGAAATATAGATAAGAATATATAAAATAACTAATAAAATAAATAACGAATATATAAGATGTACATATACGTATATACATATATAAGATATAGAAATAGAGATAAAAATATATAAGATATATAATAGAATAAATAATAATCACGAATATATAAGATATACATATACGTATATATATGTATAAGATATAGAGATAGAGATAGAGATATAGATAAGAATATATAAAATAACTAATAAAATAAATAACGAATATATAAGATATATATATACGTATATACATATATAAGATAGAGATATAAGTAAGATATATATAAAAACATATTCTCGATTCTCATGCTCAAAACTGTCGCTTAGATATCTATCTTTCTTTCAGAAAAAAAAACCAAAAAAAAGTTCCATCCGAATACTAAATTCCATCTTCTTCCATTCTATACACACGTATATATATATATATATATATATATATATGTATATATACATATAAAGTGCATAATATTGGTCATAACGGGAGGAGAAGGTTAGGAGCGAGGATTTACGAGCTGTATTCCTCGCTACACGGGCCGAGTATATTAATACGAGCATCGCGATACGAAATTATTAATACGTTGAGGTGGATGCGGAACGGCTCGGTGGTATGCGTCATATGAGGCGTTTCTCCCCCCTTCTCCGCGCGATAGTCGTGAGGGAGTGGTAACGAAGCGGGTGTAGGGGGGAAGCGTGGCCGAGGAGTGGGACAATTTCAGGCCGCTAGGAATTTAAATATTCCGCACTCGGTCGGTTTTTAAGTCGAAGGAGGGGAGGGGAGGGAGATATTATTACGATCGAGAATCTGGAATTGTAGGAGTTTGTGGAACGCAGGAGTCTCGATTCTCGCCGGCCACGTTTTCCATCTCGTCGAAATGGCGAGTAGTTTCAGGGGATGAACTCGTAGGAGAGAAGGATCACCATTTACAGTTTTTTCTCGATTCGAGTGGAGGAAAGCGTTCGATCGAAATTCGAAGAGAATTCTCTGCGCAACAATTCGATTAATCGAATCGATCTTATGAATGGTTATATTTGTAATCTTTCGTTCGCAAATGTTCTTTATTCTTTATTCGAGCGTTGAACCGAGTGGAGGAAAGCGTTGGATCTTCTGTTCGATCGAAATGACGAATGAGAAGAGAATTCTTTGCACGTCCAATAACGATTGCCGAATTAATCCTAATTTTACAACAGTGATTAATTCTACGTCTCGAATTTTTCATTCCAATAATAAAATAATTTTCATTCCACAAATAATTATATTTATGTTTTCATTCGCGAAAATTTAAATAAAACACCGATTCCTCCTCCTTTTATTGCTTGACAAATTTTCTCCGTTCGAGTGAGAGCGTTGGATCGTATTTCGATGGATAATTTCGACTCAAAAGAAATTTCTCAATTCTGATTAATCCGAATTGTAACCAAATATTTTTTACGCTCCACAAATCATTCACAATCTCTTTCACCTCGCGAAACTTTATGCAAAACATCGATTCCTCCTCCTCCTCCCCTCCATTTCCTCCCCTCAAGTTTCCTCCATTCGAATGAGTATTAAGCGGAATTGCGAGTGAACGAAAATTCTGCGGATAAATTATATCCGCGAAAACTTTTTATAAATACAAACTACCGTCCCCAACCACTGCTCGCCTTTCCTTGTAATCAGTGTGAGTGACGAAAAAAAAAAAAAAAAAAGAAAAAAAGAAAAGGAAAGAGCAACACTCGGAGTTTTCCACTTAGCGGCGCGATTTGTTATTCGTGTTTCTCGGAAGTAGACAACGACTATTGTGGGATAAGTCGTTCTTTTCTTTTTTTTTTTTTAATTTATCCGCGCGTGAACGTGTAACATTAAACGTGTAAAATAAAAGGTGGGAGGAAATAATGGAACGGAGGTGAAATTTAAAATATAAATATTAAAAATATATATATATATTTATTCGTGAAAATTGGGATCGATGTTAAAATCGGGAGGGGGTTGGATAATTTGGTAAAAGGGAAAAAGGGAGGAAGAGAATAATATTTCCCGATTTTTGTTTAAATAATTATGACACGTTGCGACAAGGAATGTGAGCGTGTTAAAAACGGATAGATAGCGATTTTACATTCATGTTTGAATAATATTCATCGGCCAGAATGTGAATACATTTTGCGGTAAAAGAATTAAATGCGCAAAATGCACCAAAATTTATGTATTTTGTGAAAAAATTATAAGAAGAGGTATTAATTTTTAATACGCGATGCATGGATAATACACCGATAAAAAAAAAATAGCAACAAGAGAGGAAAGGTTTAATTAAATTTCACCGTTTAATAAAAAATCCTCCCAAATATAATTATTATAATTATTATATAATTATATACATTAATATAATATAATTATAATTATTATTAAAAATATTACAATTCCAGTTTCAATAATTTCACGCGCCTCACAAATCGATAAAGGAAAGAAACGTGACAACGTTGAATAAAATTACATTTGCAAATGCCGCGATCCATTATGAATCTTGTATGTAGGAGACATACATCTTTGTTTTAATCACGAGCAATCCCTTTTAAGCCCCTCCCCAAGTGCATCTCCCCCTTACTCTTTATCACGGAATTTTAGGGTAAAACAAGACGAGCATTTCGCCGCAAGTTCCACATGACGTGTCACACGTGTGGAAATGTAAGGTTAAACAAGCCTTTGAGCGTGGCCCATTCGTTCCCTCGTCGCTATTCGAACGAGCTCAATTTTCGTTTATTATATTCTTGGCGGATATAGTTTTTGAGAAAAGTAATTATATTTCGCAATTTTACACATCGAAAGAAAAATCTCGAAGGGATCTCGTCGATTCTTCTATCCTTCTTTTTTTTTTTTTAAATTAATATTTTGGTGGTCGATTTATATGGAACTGTGTAAATTTTTAAAAAAATAAAAATTCGTCTACTTACAAACCGTAACCATATAAGTTTGTTAATTTCAAAGATACGAAATGTGGAATTAAATATTTTATTTATAAGAAGAAGGAATTTCAATATCTTTAAAACTTTCAATGAACTTCGTTCGCAATAGCGAATGAAACTTATCCCTAATTATAATGTTTCAAAAAAGGAAACGTTCTTTTGAAAAGCATCCTCCTTTCATCCAAAAATATAATTAATAATAAATATTATTATATATTATATAATATTAATATTATAATAATAAAACTCTTCTCTCAAACTCTTCCGAATCGCGAAATCAATCTTGCGTCGTTTCGAATTTGGCGCCGGCCGCGCGGCGAAGGGAACGAGATAGTCGAGATCGAGCGAAACATCGATACACGCGCTGCGTACTTCACGCGACACGGCGAACGTCACTTGTCACGCGTCAAAAACATGGTGCGATGAAAGCGAAGTCGAGAGGAACGATGATGACGATTTACCGCGGCGATTGATTGATTGATTGATTGCCGATCGCGTCGAGAGGAATAAACCAGGTTTGATTCTGCCTTCGATTGATTCGACGTGCAATTCGCGAATAAACAATTATCGAACGGCCAAGTTTGCTCGTCGGTAAAAACGATTTCGTTTCCTACACATTTCGACTGCAACGACCCGTTCGCCCATCGATCCGTCGGTTAATTCAACAAGTATCGAGGTTGTACGAATTTTCATTTTCGAGAAATAGAAATATTTTTAGAGTGAAAAGATCGAAAGAGAAAGAGAGAGGGAGGGGGAAAGAAATATCGTTCGCAACGATGTTCTGCCTCTATCGGAAGTCGCAATTGTCCGAAGATTCGGAATGGCTGAGCTTGACGTTGGAGATTTTCATGCGGGCTCATCGTTTGTTGAAAAATTTCGTGGATTTCTACAAGTTCGTCCCCCGAGAATAGATCAAAAAAAATATTTTTTCTTTTATTTGAAAATATAAACGTTTGTTAACGTTTATGAAAAAAAAAAATTCATCCAGATTCCACTCGAAGAAATATTTCGCGATTAATTACGAGTCGATCCCTTTGCACGGTGCTCTGGACGTTGTGGCCGCCTCGACCGCGTCGATAATCTGCGTGAGCGTGTTGAAAAAGAAATGCCAACAATCGGATCTCTACCAAGACATGTCCCCTTGCGTTCGGTGTCAAGATTTTGACGTTTTACCGGACGAGGTGGTTCGCAAAGTGAGCGGAAAAAAAAAAAACGCTTTTTCTTAAAAAATTCCTCCCATTCCTTCACTTCTCTTATACGCAGATGGACGTGATTCTGTTGTGTCTGCAAAACCCTAATGACATCGAGAACATCATATGCCGGATAAAGGACGTGTTGTATATTTTGGAAAGGTTGACGCCGTGCAGGATGTCGGAGAAAATTCACACTTTGTCGCTTCTCCTCAAGGAAATAGTGAAGAGGCTCGTTTGCTCTGTCCAAGGTTTGGAAGGTAATCACACAGAGAATTGACGAGTGATTTTTGACGAGAAAAAATTTTCTCTCCTTTTTATTCCCTTCTCTCGAATAAAGGAACGGGATAAATTTGGAATTGATTTTTCACCCATCACGTCGTTTCCTTAGAATCGTTCGACAATACGCAAACCAAGATGACACTGAACCTCGTGAACAACTTTATTCGGGACTGGAGCGAGAAAAGATCTAAATCCTACCCTTCTCTCAGGATATGCAGATTCTGCGACCGCGCAATCACTGAAACGACTCGACAATGGGTACGTATCGCTTTATTTCGAATAAATTGTATCCTCGAAACGCTCGCTCAAAAGTGTTTTCGATCCTCTCGCATTTTTAATCCTTTCTCTAACGAATTGTTCTTTTCGTTCATCTTTCAGGGGACATTTTGCTGCGAGGAGGCGTTCAAGTTCAACAACATCCGGATCGAGTGGGTCCTCCGTCAATCGATATCGGTCAGTTCCACGATTTCTCTTTTACCTCCTTTCGTTACGACAGTTCGAAAAGCGCGCGCATTCCACTCTTTCGACGCCATCTTGGCATTCCCTGACAACTGTCGTATATTGTATACGAGCAAACGAGTACATTTTACGCGTATTCACAGTTATTCGAATAACTGCGTAAGGGCGTTAAAAAGGTAAAATTTCGAGATTGATAACGCGTATTTATTATAGATAACGATGAAAAATTATCATGTATACTGTCTCTAACTAAGCTAATTTTTTTTTTTTTTTTATTTTAAAGCTAAAGCTTTGCCCTTCACAACGACACAAGAAAGAACACTGACACTTCGTTAAAGCTTCTTTTTAAAATAAAGATTGGGAACAGGAAATGTTAAGCGATAATTCCAAAATATCAAGATGAAATTTGGTACGCTCGATCAAAAATTAATGAGATTAAAGAAAAAGTAGCAAGATTGTAAATAATAATTTTATTTTCTAGCAATTTGGAGATTGGCTTACTATGTTAATAGTTAAAAAAATATGAAGGAAAAATCATACTGCACCGGGGACCAAACGTTCAATTAATTATCTGTATAAAAATTTTTCCATTTTGAGGAAAATATAACTATGCGTCTTCAACGCCATCTTGGTATTCCCTTGTATGAACACTTTTTTAAACTGTTAAAACTATTTCATCTTTTTACTTTGCAGTTAAATTACACATAAAAATACAATTCACTAAATTTTAAATTTAAAATTTCTTCTGTCGCTCTATTTCCTATATAAACCTTATTTCCCTTCTGACCATGACGACTTCATTTCATAATACTTTTCCAATATTTCCCCGATCAATTAAAACTTGAATATAATACATCCTCTCTATTTTAAAGTTTGCAAATAAACAACAATGATATTCCACACGCGAATGAGAGAAAGAAATCTACCACTACAAATTCAATTCCAGTTACCACCACTCAGTATATTTTACTAACACTCATATTATATTTCCAAATAACATTTCTCCAAAATACCTCCAAAATACCCGAATCTCTCCATCCTTGGAAGAGATGCCCAACGAAAAAGCAATCCTCTCTTTTTCGTTCGACTGTCGTAACGAAAGTCGTAGTACACCGGCCCGCGAATTAATAACCATCTACCATCACCATACCATAAAAACGGAGCAGGACTCGAGCAAAAAGACGGGGGACACGGGCCCGTGGAAGGATCCTAGGAGCCTGAGGGAGGAGGAGCAATTCTTGGACACGGAGGAGGAGGGGGTCCGGTACTCGGCCGGAACCGAGGAGGAGGCGAGCGACAAACGGGGGAGGAGGGGACCGAGGGCGACGGCGAATCTACCCCTGGCTGGGGGGAGGAGGGGGGAGCGGCACGAGGAGGGGAGGGACTCGCCCGCGAGGCGGGCGGCCGAGGGGGGGGAGGGGCGGCCTCGAGTCGGCCTCGAGTCGGCGAGGGAGGGGAGGGTGGACGACCGCCGATCCTCCCCCGCCGAGGGGAGGGAGGATTCCTCGCTGGCGAGGGGGGGCCGCGAGGACACCCGAGGAGGGACGACCCGCGACGTCGCCAGGGTGGACGGGCAGGAGCGGGGAGGGGATAGGAGGGGGGGAGGGTTGGAGGATAAGTCGTCGGGGAGGAGGGAGGGGCACTCGAGGAGGAGGTTGTACAGGGATGGAGGGGCACGGGTGGAGGGTAGGTCGGAGGAGGGGGAGAAAGCGGGGGAGGGGGAGGAGGGGGAGAAGGGTAGGGGGAGGAAGAGGGGGAGGGGGAGGGACGCGAGGAGGGGGAGGGGGGAGGGGGAGGAGGGTACGGAGGGGGAGGGTGGGGGGAGGGCGAGCGAGAGGGGTCGTAAGGGGAATAATCTGAGGAGGGGGAGGGAGGGGGAGGGGGAGAGGGAGGAGGAGGGGGAGGGGGAGGTTAAAGGGCGAGAAGGCGAGAGAAGGAAGAAGAAGAGGATAGACTCTGAGGGGGAGAAGAAGAAGGTGACTTATAAATTGAACAAAGAGGAGATCGAGGAGTTGAAGAAGAAGAAAAAGGGTAACGTGACCGGTTTTTTTTTTTTTTTTTTTTTTTTTTTTTTTTTGAATATAAAATTTACCACAAACGGGGAAAATGAAAATCTCTCGATCGATAGATTCTTCTTCTTTTTTTTTTTTTTTTTTTTTTTTCTCTCCCTTCGAGCAGTTGAAATCAAGGAGGACGAGAAAATATTGACGGAGGACGAGAAATCGATCATCGAATTGGTGAAGAAGGAGAGGGAGAAAGAAATCGATTTCATCAGGGTGAAGGAGTACGTGAAGCCGATCGAATTCCCTTACAAGAAGGTGGTGAAAGTGTACGAGAAGCCGATCGGTATTCTTCCGTTTTTTCTTTCGAAATTTCCGATTCTCTCGTTCGATCGATGAATCGATCGATTGAGTGTATCGCGTCGCGAGTAATGCTCGAGGTTTTCCGCGAAGCCCGCCTCACGTGAAAATTTCCACGTTACAGAGGAAACCACGATCAAGTACCAATTATCAAACCCGTTGTTCGTGAAGCTCGGCTGGACCATGCTCCCCGTTTCGAAAATCATGAGGAAAGTTATCGAGTATCAAACGAATCCTGCCAAACCTCATCTCGATTGGTATGGTTGGAACATTGTACTTTGCTTATTTCGAGATCGAATCGAATTAATTTCCTCCTCCTTTCTCCTCTTATACATTTTTACAAGAGAATTAATTAACGTTTTAATGAATATTGAAACGATGATTTATTACGAAGAGCAATTTTACGCGTTCATTCCCGATTAAAATTAAATTTAAAACAAACTTTATAGTCCTATTTCTATTTTCTTCTTTTTTTTATCTATTACAATTTCGAGATATAATCTTAAAATTCGAGATATATTCGAGATTAAATATACGCGTGTATCGAAGATATATATATATATATATTTCGATCGACGAGCAAACTCATCATCCGTGGAATTCGATCACGTGAAACAGCTCGTTAAATTTTATGCATCGGCGAATTTGATTTTGCCAGCCCGAGGATTACCGTGTTGCCGATGGCCGTATCGACGATTTCTCAACGCCTCGCCCCCATTAACGAGTGATATTTCGCGAGAGGACGAGAGCAACGTAGCGTTAAAAAAAGAAAAAAGCGAATTTCAAATCCTCGCGTTAAATTATTTATTTCTTCTTCGATCGAAAAATCGATCCGAAAAATTTCCATCATCTCTCGTTCCAAATTTGCTCTTCTTTAATTACTCAACTTTCGCTCTTCGATCTGTTCGAACAGAAAAATTGACGAAGATTATTATAATTATAATTAACACGTTACGATTCCAGGTTCAAGAAATACAGGCTCGAAAGAAGACTGTATTACAATGACAAGCGCATCTTTATGAATTTCTCCGGCGCAAGATCGGCGGAAATATATTATCCGAACGGGAGCCTTGCCATTAAATTCAGCAGGCCGCCGGAGCGAGAATGTAAGATTATCAATCTTACCATTCCGTAAATCGATGATCTCGTTGAAGGTTGAACGAGAACGATATTTGAAAATTGGAACAATTTTCGAAATCTTCCGATATTTCACCGTGCGCGATTTTGAAAATTTCGAATTTCGAATTTTGGAAAAGGAACGATTTCTCGAACCTTCAGCTCGGATGATCGATCGTGCCAAGGGGCTGCCAAAAAAAGAAAAAAAAGAGGAAAATAATAATCGTTTCGAGAAAACGATTGATTGACAAAATAAAAAAAATAATTATTATTTTTTCGGCAACCCTGATTGACGCGATTATCGAGAGGAACGAGCGAGCAGGGGACGAAAAAAAAGGAATGATCGGAAAAATCGATTTCAAGACGATATGTATACTGTATTCAGCCCAGGAGGCAAAGATTTCATGGGCGTGAAGAGGAGGCCCCAGATCATCGCTGTATTCGACACGATGGGGAACGGCGCCGTGTTCGACGAGGAAGGAAGGACGAGGTCCGTGTTCGAAAACAATTCTCACCTCCCCCCCCCCCTTTGGAATTTTTAATCAACGTCGTTCCGTTCCAACTCTTTCTCACGAACTTTGCTCTCTTGTTTCAAGGGTTTCGTTCAATCAGATCGGGGGTGTTTGGAAGGATAATCCGACCAGGATCCCCCTCACGTGGAGATGGGACATATTCGAGAGGACGCCGATACTGGAGAACGTGTACGTGGTGGGTGTGCGAGAGAAATCGATCTCCTCTTGTAAATTTTTGGTAGTAAAATTGATCAACGACAACCTTTGTTATCCTTTTTTTCTGTTCCCCTTTTCGCAGGAGAAATCCGCGGCCCATTTGGAGAAATATTTCTACCCGCCGACGATGAAGGTGTTCAGGAGGTAAGGAGATTTCGAAGGAATTTTTGAATTTTTGAATTTTGAATTTGTTTTACCTGCAGCAACAAAGCGTCCACGCCGTCACTGGTTTCGCGAAAGGAGAAGAGGGTGGAGTACGTGAAACCTGTTTTCGAGGAGGAGTACGAGGAGGAGGAGGAGGAGGAGGAGAAGGTGCAGGAGGTCGAGTCCGAGTACGTGAAGGGTTTCGAAGTTTTACTATTCTTTTTCCAACGATAAATAAGTTAAAATGAATAGTCGATCGTTAATCTTCGAGATTTCATTCCCTCGATAATCAAGGAATTAAAAGATAAGAGAGAAGTGTTATATTTCGTGTAATAGGCAAATTTACTCGAGCGATGCTTGCTACTTGAAACCGATCTTCGTGCAAATGAACGATTACATCAGTTTGAAAATTTTGAATCGGCGCACCGTCACCCTTCGATTCCTTGCCAACACGAAAAACGTCAGGTAAGTGTTTCTCTGTTATAAATTTTAACAACACGTCTGTGATAATAATAATAATTGAGGCCGAGTGTCTTATTCGAACTTATTATATAGAATAGAGCTCGGCACGATCTTAAATTTAACCAAGCAAGTGGGATTCTACTTCGTGGATATGAGGGTGAAATTTAGTTTGCTGAAGTGAGTTGAAAATTATAACGTAAACGTTCCGATGATACGTCCAAGTAATATTCTTTTTTTTTCTTCTTTTTGTTCTTGCTCGCTAAAACAGATGCAAGTTCGACGATCCGATCCACATAAGGCCCGACAGCAGCGTGTACAACATATACAAGGAATTGGAAAAAATCAAAAAAATGGCCAAGCAACGGGAGCTCATGATGGAGAAGTACAGACCATACTTGCATACTTGGAAAATGATGGGGACCAGATGTCGTCCCCGATAATTTCACGTCCGTTTCCCTCCAATTCCCTCGAGACTGTCCTTGTTTTTTCTCTTTGACGAAAATAAATAAGATAAAAAAGTATCCTGGGAAAAAGAAGCGAAGGAGTAATATAAGGGATCATTGCATTACGCATTAGGATTTATATAAATAAAAATGAGTATGTAATTGAAATAATCATGAAGTAAAAATCAAAATCGTTGCCTCGGTGTAAAAGAACGCTTTTCCTCGCAACGCGTTAGCGATACGTTACGCGCAATTGTATACAACTCGCGCGCGCATGCGCGTATCGCGATCGCATCGTCCAATTATATTCATTCGTGTCGTGGATCGTACGTTGAGTACGTCGTGTCGCGTTTCATGCGTTTGTCGTGCTTGTGTGTCGTGTACGTGTATTTGTATGTGTACGTGTGTGCGTGCGCTCAAGCACATACATATTATCCCCCATTATGTCATCGAAGGGGAATATTTAAAATTCGAAAATATTCTTAAATAACTAAATGAGAGGAAGGAGAAAGGATAGAGACGGAACGAGACAAAACAATTTCGATTGTCGAATAAATTAGGTTAGTCGGATTCGATGGTGAGAAAATGGGGAGGGGAGAATGGGTAATCGCGCTTAGTTAGAGAAACAAATAAATAATAATAATAATAATAATAGTAATAATAATAATAATAATAATAATAATAATAATAGTAATAATCGTCACGGGTTTCAACAATACGAGAGAATCCGTGGCTCGCTAGACGAGATGAGGTACGAAAGGAAGTTTTGAGAAGAAATTACAAGGCAAATACCCTTCTCGTATAAGTATACGAACGTGTGTGTGTGTGTGTGTGTGTGTGTGTAGATATGTATATAAATAATCGTGAGTGTATCGAGGACGCGAAATTAGAAGGTCGTATTATCCTGTGGGTCGCGTAGGGCCGTCCTAACACTTCCGACTTATTTACAATGCCCTTCGAGACTGTTCCGAGGCGATCAACCTTATCTCCGTACGAGCACGCCGACAATTTTATTGTTATCGATTCTTTTTTCTTTTTTTTTTTTTTTTCTTTCTTTTTAATTCCACAACGAAACGACATCGGACAATACGTTGACATATTTTCTCGAGATTTGTTTTTTCTTCTTCCTCCGATGCATCGTTCCTCTTTCATCCTCTTTTTCTCGCGTTTCTTCTTAAGTGTAACGCTTATTTACACGTTTTCTTTTTCTTTCTTTCTTTACCCGTTTTGTTCCATCCGTTCCAACGTTTTCCAAGATTCGAGTGGACGAGGAAGTGGAAAAGAAGGAAAATAGGAAATTCGAGAAGGAGAAGGAGGAGGGGAAGAAGAAACGGAGAGAACGTTTCCGTGTCGGGTAACTCGGGCCTGTAATTATTTCCATCGTATGTATATATATATATATATATACACACACACGATATGTATATATATATATATATATATATATATATACGTATATAGGTGTCCTCGAGATCCTGTTGAAACGTCCATATAACATATCCCGACATGGACGATCTCTCAGTTGGCCACCTTGACGAACTCGGGGTTGGAAACGGGGCAGTTCTCGGCCGCGTACGCCGGATGGACGAAGCCGCCTCCCGCCACCATGTTCTTCCGATCGACGGCCCGCACCCTGACGAAGAGGAAGGCAGCGACCAGGGAGGCGACCACCACCACGAGGAGGAGCATGACCAGGCCACCTACGAAGCCCGGCAAGCTCATGCAGATCGTCTCCGGATCGGTGGAGGCGGCCGCGTTCTGTATAACGACCGTGGTGTCGTTGCTCGAGTTGGTCGTCCCGAGGGCGAAGTTCACGTCGCCCGGCGCCACCACCTGGATGGTCCTCGACGTGTTCACGTCGGTCATCTCTTGGGCGGCCCTCTTGTACACGTGGCCCACCTTCACCAGGCTCACGATCGCTCGATCGATCGCCGTCTGCAACGAGCAAAAATCACCCAAAGTCGATCTTTCCTCTCCCATCCTATTCGACATCGACAAACTACTCACGGAATCGTGGCCATCCCCTGATCTCCGCCTCCTGGCTCCCCTCAGCTCGGCAGGGAATCCTTCGACCGACCTCGGCCGACCCCCAAGCGTCGCCAGGTTACCCTCCAACTCCTCCGACCCGGCGCTCCCCTTCCTCTTCACGGTCTGGTACGCGGCAGCCGGGTGGCCGGGGAGGGGCGGCGGCGGAAGGTGGATGCTGTCCTGCTGCGGGCTCTGCGGCGGGCTGCTCGCCGTCGCGTCGCCGGGCGTCGAGCTCGGCGAGGAGGACGACGTCTGCGCCTGCGGCGCCGGCACCACGTCCGCGTTCTGCTCGCTGCCCCCGAATCAAAAATTTTCTTTTCCAAAATTTTCCAAATTTCCCCTGTCCCCCCCTCCTCCGTGTTCCACCTACCTGTACGCCCCGGCGGGGCCGCTCGGATGGCGAGGGTCGGCGAACGCGGGCGGCACGCCGTACTCGGGCACGGGCGGGGCCCCGTACTCGGGGCCCAGGCCCTGGTGGACCGGGGCCCCGTACTCGTGGCCGAGGCCCGCCGCCGCTGGCGCCCCGTACTCCAGGCCTGGGTGGCCGCACTTGGGCTCGGGGCAATTGTAACGGCACACCTGTATCACGCACTGGAAGTGGACGTTCATGCTGTCCGGGAACTTGAAGGCTTGGAAGTAGGCGAAGCTGACGACCGAGGCGCTCGGTCCGAAGTTCTTTATCTTCTGGAACCTGGGAACAAGGGAGAAACGATTACCTTATTATCACCTTACCGAGGTAAGGTGAATTTCGACGGGGGGGTGTGGGATACGCACCTGGACATGATCTTCGGCCTGACGACGCACCCGTACTGGTCGACCAGTTGGATGGGGGCCCTCTTGCCGTCGTGGGCCACGCAGTTCCTCACGAGCATGTCGAACTTGTTCTCGTCGTCCTTGATGGCCAGCACCATGGTCATGGTCTGGCCTATCTTCACTATGCCCGAGACCTCGCTGGCCCACGGGCCCTTGCCCACCTGTATCTGCATCCAGCACTGCAAATTGTCGCCGAGGAAGTTGGCGGTGACGGCGTGGAGCATGTCGACCTGGAACGGCCTGAACGTGACCGCCTTCTCGTAGAAGTCGTACCAGGTGCACCTGAGCTTCCTCGCCTGGTCCCACACCTCCTGCACGTAGGGGTCGTATTGGACGATGATGGTGTTCTCGACGTAGCTGCCCGACGGGGTGGGCGCCCCGTACGCGGCCACGTTGTGATTGGCCGAGGAGCTCATCCCGCACGAGTTGAGGAATATCTCGAAGGTGGCGCTCAGGTGGCCCGTGCCCGGCTTCAAGTGGACGCAGTGGGGATCCGAGTAGAAGCCCTTGCTGAAGATCATGCCGTAGAACGGCCTGTCGAACTCGATGTTCACCCGCATGTGCGTCTTCTCGCACTGCACCTGCAGGTGCTTGATCTGGGGCGTGTCGGGGGAGGCGAGCGGCCAGTTCTCCTCCGCGCCGTGCGCGCCCCCCGCCGCGCCGTACTGCGCCCCGCCCGCCCCGTAAACCGACCTGTGCTCCAACGGGAGGGCGCTGCTGTCCACCAGCGGGGCCTCGCACCTCGCCCTCTGAAAATCGACCGTCGTCTCTTCATTATTACCTCTTATTATATTGTTATTGTTTTATATATATATATATAATGTATATATATTTATGTTATTATGTATATGTTATTATATATATATATATGTTGTATAATTGTTCGACTTCTTCGAGGTGGAGGATCTCGAGGTGGGGGAAGGGAAGGATAGTTTAAATAGGTAATTAATTATTTAAATTAATTTAAAAACTTGTTCTTTTCTATTCTCTCTCGTTTCTTGAATGGAAGTAATTTTATTTAATCGGTGCAAGATTCACTCGTTCAATAAGAGTGCTGTTATTGTATTTATTTCATGTTTCTTTTTAAGTAATTAATATGTAAAAGTCAGACTCATCTTCAGTCGAATTTAATTTAATTTAATTTCAATGCTTGAATTGAAATTCGAGAACTTTGGAAATAATATTTCTACCGCCACTGTCAGTTTTTAAGTAATTAATATATAAAAGTGAGACTCATCTTCAGTCGAATTTAATTTAATTTAATTTCAATGCTTGAATTGAAATTCGAGAACTTTGGAAATAATATTTCTATCGCCACTGTCAAACGAATATAATTCGAGATAAAAAAAAATTTAATTTTAAAAAATTCAGACAACTCGACAGGTGACTCTTCGATATCACTTGGATTCGAACGATTCTCAAGCTCTTTGAGTATAATCTTGTAAAGCGTGGAATAATATACTGGTTATATATTATATTATAATATATTGTAATAATTAGATTTTTGTTATTTTGAATTGGATCGTGATCGTGTATTTTGGGAATAGTTTGACAATTTAGTGGCAATAGGAATATTATTTTCAAAGTTTTTTAGTGTTTTGTAAGATATGTGATTCAAGTGAAATTACTTTTATTCTATTAAAGAAATTGAAGAAAAGAAAAATTTTATTAAATTTTATTAAAAAATTTTATCAAAAAATCGATCATAGAGAGAGAAAATAGAGATATAATAGGAGAAGTAAAAAAATGAGAATATGAGTTGAGTTTTTAAATATATAAAATATAGATAAAATATATATATAAAAATATAAAATATATAAATATAGAAATTATTTCTATTCGTTAAGAAATCGACGATAGAGAGAAGGAAAATAACTATGAAAATAATAAGAATAATAGACGGTGAATGTGAAAACATGTTATTAGGATATTAGTTCAACGTGAGTTTTATTAAATAACGAAAATTATTTCTAAGAAATCGACGATAGAGAGAGAAGGAAAATAGCGACGAAAATACAGATGTAGTGTAAGAAGATGAAAAATGACAATAATAAATGCGAGAATATTGGGATATTAGTTCAACGTGAGTTTTATTAAATAATAAAATTATTTCTATAATAAATAATAAAATTATTTCTTCGTCAAGAAATCGACGATAGAAGGAAAATAGCGATATGAAAATAGAGATATAATAAGAGAAGGTAAAAAATGAGAATAATAAACAATGAATGCGAGAATATTGGGATGTTAGTTCAACGTGAGTTTTATTAAATAACGAAATTATTTCTAAAATATCGAAAATATTTATTTCTAAAATAAAATTCTATATATATTTCTAAAATATTAAATAACGAAATTTCTATAAATTTAATATAAAAATAAAATTTCTATAAATTTCTAAACTTTTAAAAAATCGACGATAGAGTGAAGAAAAATAAAGATATAATAAAAGAAGGTAAAAAATGAGAATAATAAATAGTGAATGCGAGAATATTGGGATATTAGTTCAAGGTGAGTTTTATTAAATAACGAAATTATTTCTAAAATATCGAAAATATTTATTTCTAAAATAAAATTCTATATATATTTCTAAAATATTAAATAACGAAATTTCTAAAATTTCTATAAATTTCTAAACTTTTAAAAAATCGACGATAGAGTGAAGGAAAATAGCTCTATGAAAATAAAGATATAATAAGAGAAGGTGAAAAATGAGAATAATAAACAATGAATGCGAGAATATTGGGATATTAGTTCAAGGTGAGTTTTATTAAATAACGAAATTATTTATATTGGTCAAAAAATCGACGATAGAGAGAAGGAAAATAGCGACGAAAATAATAAGAATAATAGATGGTAAATGTGAAAACACGTTATATATTATTCAACGTGAGTTTTATTAAATAACGAAATTATCAAAAAACAGAGAGAAGAAAAATAGCGACGAAAATAATAAGAGTAATAGATGGTGAATGTGAAAACACGATATTACGTTCAACGTGAATTTTATTAAATAACGAAATTATTTGTGTCAAAAAGTCGACGATAGAGAGAAGAAAAATAACGACGAAAATAAGAACGATAAACAATGAGAGCGCGTTATTGAGATTATAATCTTTTCTCTCAACGAAATAAAAAAGACACGAAACGATATTTTATCTCGAAGGATAAAATATAAGCATCTTGACAATCATTATCGAAATATCCCCCGAAACAACGATACAAACTTCAACGTTCCACAAATTTTCATTCATTACATTTACAAAGACACGTAAAACATTCGAATACAAAAGTTTATACGCGTTGAAATCGTTTCAAATTAGCTATGAAAATCCACCGAATTCGGGAAATTATCTAAAGTTCGAGCGCAAAGGGTTAATAACCGGCAACGTTTCGAAATCGCGTGCGACTCCTTTCCTTCTTTCCTTCTTTCCTTCTTTCCTTCTTTCCTCGTTTCTGTTCCACCGCGTGCACAAACGGTGTCTAGAAGCCGGTTCTTCCCGAATTGACGATGAATGACAACGAGCTCAACGAGTTGGAGCGAGAGTCGCATCACGAATTCCACGAACGTCGTTGCGACGTTGCAACGTCGCTTACCGGGTTACTTAGGCGCTCGAGATTCGACTGGATCGTCGTTTCAGAGTTGGACCGCGTAAATTACGTCCCTCTTACGTAATAAATATATATATATATTATGTCCTTCTTACGTAATAAATATATATATATATATATATATTACGTCCCTCTTGCGTAATAAATATGTATATATATATTACGTCTCTCTTGCGTAATAAATATGTATATATATATTATGTTCCTCTTACGTAATAAATATATATATATATATATATATATATATATATATATA